TTGAAGCTAATTTGATCAATTTCAGCCGAGCTTCTGAACCCGTCCCCCCTCGTGTTAATTTGTTGGGACGTGCATAGATCACTTGAATTTGATAATGAAAGGAAGACGAGATTAATTAGGCTGAAATCACATCTTAGCTTCTGATATATTCGAAAGGTTTTCGGTTTCCCTTTGGCTTATTTAATTCAGCGAGTTGATGGAGGCCTGGATTTGCTCTAGAGTTTTTCCCTTTGTTTCAGGCACAATCTTCACCACAAATAGAACTGTAAGAGCACAGAATCCAGCATAGATCATGAATGTTCCTGAGGAATAAAATTTCAGACATAAGTACTAATCAATTACAAATCATTAATGTAAAATTAAGGTTTAATCTATTCGATTCTGACTATGTTTGGACAGTAACCGTTTACCTGTTGAACTCCAGCTCATGAGAAAGTTGAATGTGTAGGAAACTGCCCAGGCACCTAACCAGTTTACTAGTACTACCAGGCTCCCAGCTAAACCTTTCATGTGAATTGGGAAGATCTGGAAAGTAAAAAATAGTGTAAGGATTTATGGCACCTTTAGTGGTTTGCTTCAGATCTTTCAGTAAATCTAGCAATATGATGGAATGGGGTGGCGAAGAAGGATTTATCCGACTCCAAAATTTACTGAGAAGAATGACTTATTGTTGTAATTGTTTTATGACAGCTTTAGTTTTAATAGATAAATGTTCATTTATACGGTTTTTGAGCTAAATGTAAAGAAAAGGGGTAAGGGAACACGTCTATCATGATCAAAGATATCGACTATATACTAGCTATAACAAGAACCGTAAGCCTCTGAGCTTACCTCTGACATTATGACCCAAGGAACTGCTCCCATTCCTATTGAAAATGATGCTATGTAGACCTGTTCATGTTGATTCGAGAAAAACCTTAGTCGAATGAAGTTCAATTGATTGACATATTTAGGACGTGTATATATGTTGAAGTTCAATTGACTGACATATTTAGGACGTGTATATATGTTGAAGGGGGTGTTTGTGTTAGCAAAAGTGGTGCTAGAAAAAACTTGTATTCTAAAACTACAGTTGCGACCAGATATTAATCACTATAAATCTGTTTGGTGCACATTTTGGAGATAAAAATGCATTTTTACTGTTGATGTAATGAGGAATATGTGGTTGAAAAAGAAGGAAAAGTTATTGATATGATGGAAAATATTATTTTATTGAAAAATGTGTGATTGAAAATGAGTATAAGAATGAAAATGAAAAAAATAATTGATGGTAAAGTCAC